ACAGCACGCCACCTCCGCTTGGGCCCTGCGCGCACCAGCTTGGCCAGGACGCTAGGCCACGCACACTCAATGCGCCTGTGGAGCCGCGGGGCACGCCTCCAGAGGTCAAGCCATTCGCCCAAGAGCTGGCGCCTGAGCTCCAGGCCAGGCTCCTTGTCGCCGTGGAGCGTTGCCAGGAGGCTCGTGAGGCATCTCCCTGGCCCCTTGCCCGCAGCCGAGAGTGCCGCGCACCGCCTCAGCCTGAGGATGGCCGAGGGGGCCAGGCCAGATGCCTGATGGCCATACGTCGACCTCGGCAGCGCGGCCGTGGACCACAGCGCCTTGGTCACGCGGGAGAGCTGGACGTGGCGCCTCATCTTGAAAATACGGCGGAACTGACATTGCCCCGCCTTCCTCCTGGAAATCGCCCTGCGCTGCGTGCGCACGCGCCCCGCAGCGGTGTCCACGCCGAGGTCCACTGCCTGGTTGGCCGCCGAGCAGGGGGCACCCCTGCGCACCAGCGCACGGTGGATGTCCTTGGCCAGCTGAGGGTGGCTGGCAATGACGACGGTCTTGCCAGAGACCTGCAAGTGCTGCTCGTGGAGGCCAGCCTTGAGGGACTCCGCCACACCCAGGATGGTGGACCGCACGTGCTCCAGCTTGCCTTCCGCCCTCGCCACCGTGTCGTCGACGAAGGTCCACAGCTGCGCATACTCCCACTCGAGGTGAGCCGCCCTCAGGATGGGCGCCAGGAAGAGCTTCGCGCACGTGTTGCCATGGGAGCTGCCCGCCACCACCGAGCGCTGTGGCACGAGGCGCGGCCCCAGCCATCGCTGTTGGCGGAGGTGCCTTGGCGCCAAGAAAAGCTGTGTCTCCAATGCAAGCACCACAGCTGGAAACCGCATGCGGAGCCCCACTTGGAGCAGTCGAGAAAACCCAATGCTATCGTAGAACTTCTGAATGTCCAGCAGCAAGGTCGCAGTATGGAACCCCATCGCCAGCGACGTCTCGTCCATCAGGGCACGGACGATGGCCGCTCTGAGGGCTGAGCTGCCCTTGATGGCTGTGTCCCACCACTGGTCCTGCGAGGCCTCCCACTCGTCAGAGACAGTGGACCTAGCCTTGGACCAGATCTTGGCCGTCGTAGCCAGCATGCCGATGACTCGATCTCCCCCAGCTGGCTTCGGCACCGTGGCGCCGATCGTAGTAGTGAGCTGCCATGGCCAGAGGCCCCGCTGCTCAATGAGGTTGAGCAGGTCGACCAGCTGCTGTCGCGCCGCGGGTGGGCAGCGCGCTATATCCAAAGCTGTGATGTTGTCGATGCCCTTCGCCTTCTTGGACGACGTCCGCGAGAGCACCACGTCCAGCCTGTCCAAGGTGATGGGCTCAAGGGGGTCCTCAGCAGCTCGCGCACGGAGGTCACGCAGGGCCTGAAGAATCTGGGTCTGGTCAAACTCGGGATCCGACCACACCTTCTCCCAGACTTCAGTCTTGGCACGCATGATGCAGCACGGGTCGGCAACCGCTGTGTCCCCAACGATGACCTCCGTTTGCTGTACTTGCGGCTCGCGCGCATGCCCGTAGATGACCCCCGCCTTGGACTTCCAGGACTCCTTCGCCCACTTGATGAAGCCACGGCGCGCCCTGGCATGGGATCTGCCCAAGGCCCTACTCGCCCACCTCTCCGAAACATCAATGAACGGGTCAATGACGCCGATGAGGCCAGAGGACGACATGTGGTGGAAGTCATCGCCGATGGCCACCAGGAGAGCGTCCTTGACATGCTTCCACTCCTCCAGCTCAGCACTGAGGG